GTGAAGCATGAGATTTACAAGGACACGAGAACAATCTTGCTAAACAGAACGGATTTCCCTACTGTGTTTACAAAAAGACATAAGACAATATATAAAAAAAATTTCATTACAGTGGCAATCTCTCTCATGAACAATAGTAATAAAAAACATTAGTTTGATCAGATATAATTTGTTCTTAACAAATCAGTGTTGGCTGTTAAATCTCCATTTAGCATCTTGGTGTGCTCACAAATGGCTTTATTATTTTTTCAAGAACCAAAGTTATATTAACTACATGTTTTTCCTAATTTTTCCCCTACATATTCACAAGATCACAGCATGCAAAGATGCTTGAAATAATAATTCATTTTATCTTTTAATTTTTAAAATGTCCCCAAAATAAATAGTTTTCTCTCTTCTTTTTGCAAAGACTTTACATCAATAAGTGTAAAAAGCAAAATGCTGTTACTTCCTAGCTGGAGAGTGACCTCTAAACTATATTCAGCATATTCCACAAAACTGCTGAATCCTGGGGGAAACCTTGGATGTCATATCAAGTGTGCCTCCATACACTCAAAAGAAAAAAAATAAAACAAGCAAACAGAAAAATATCAATCAACTGGGCTTTTTTCTGAGGTATCATATAAAACCTTACTGCATTTTAAAACATACTATCTAAATACTATTGGGAGAGAATGGGAGGAACAGAAGAAAGTCAGAGCTCTCCTGAGATGATGTTTAGGTATGAGAACTAAAACTCCTACGTGAACAAATACAATTACATTAACAATAATAATGTTATATCTATAGGACTACCAAATTAGGATAGGAAAAAAAAAAAGAAAATTAAATTAGAACCACCCTCTTGGAGGGACAAAATGTTCCATTAAGAAACTCTCTCTCCCATTTTAACTCTGCGGAAATGATAGTTGAAATCAAGCTCAGTCCATGAACTAAAATACAACTGCAGCATTTGGTAACGTAGGAAATGTGCCAAAATTTCTTGGAACATTCCCTCTGTCATAATATTAAAGAAATGAAAAGTATCTACAATATGCAAATAGTAACAACCCAGCCAATGTTCTGCCTATGCTATTATACCAATTCATTTGTGACTAATGAAAAATCCACTGATGAATAAAACATACATTCCAAAAATAAAGTAGTTATAAATAAATTTTAAAAATACAATTACCCTTCTAAAGTTGGTAGAGCATCTCCATTACATCTGGATGTAACAGAAGGTAAATGTCAAATGTACTTGACTTAGAATTGTTTTAAAAGCAATTTTTTTCAGTGCTCTCCGAATATAACTATTTACTACTCTGTAAATAACAAAATGTCTGGACTATCAGTAGTAGAAAGTGACTGTGAGTGTGGTGTTATTAGAGATGAACAAAACCAGGGAGTCTAAGATTGTTGCATTATTATCACATTTGTGAAACCATTCAAAAGGCTTTATTTTTATAAAGAAATCATGTATATAAAATAGAACAATAAAAAAAAAAAGTTAACTAGTACCAGGCAGCACATCTGCAGTTTTTGGATTTACCAATATTTACAAAACTCCATATTGCAGTACTTAACTTGCCTCATGCAAAGTGCAACCACAGAACCACTCGTGTGAATGACTCATGAATAACCTTGAGTTCCTTAAAGATTTACGCATATTTTGGATTAGACCCATAACTCTGAATGTGCACAACGGCTTTGAAGAAAACCATATTTGTGGAGAGTCATAGCTTGGCATCCTTGTGTTAGGACCTACAAAAATAGAGCTTAAAAAAAGACTTGCATAACATCTATTTTCAACCAGACCGGGAAGAGAACTCATTGTACCCCATCAACTTGAATTCTTCTCTTTCCCTGTTCTTCTTCATCACATCATGCAGGTTGGGCTCATCTAGTTCATATCTGTATTCAAATTAGGTCCAGCTGCAGCAGGTTACTTACAGGTCTGTCCACTGAAGTCCACAGCTTCTTTTAACAGCCTGGTGTAGTGTTTGATGACCCTTGAGTTGAAACAAGTTTCAGCCCATTGTTTTTTGCTTGCCACATCTTAGATAGTCTTAAACATAAGAACTTTCATTAAATACACATGACAAGGGCAAGATGTCTGATGGTGTAAAACTGCCAGATAAGATTTCAGGATGTGTTTTCTATCCTTACATCAGGAATTCTATGCAAATGACAAAAATTCTGTTTCCTGATTAGTAGGATTTCAGTGTTTGCTTCTATTCTGATGTTGTTCAGATCAAAAAGATTATAAAAATCACTCCAGAAAATGCAATATATTAGGACAAGGGATACCCAAACTAACCTTCAAAACAAAATTTCCTGGAGAATTTTTCCAGCACTGTTTGTTAAAACTATGCTGGCACATTCCTCTGAGGAATGTCATAACTAGCTGTCATCAGACCCATAACAATTAGCCAGACAACATTTCTGATTTAATAGGGCAGAAATTATGTTCCTAGCAGAAAACCAACAGAAAATTACAAAAAAAAACAAAAAACAAAACAAAACAAAACCACTGAGCAGCTCAGTATCATGGATGTACTAAGCTGTATTTGCAACCTTTCCTAAGCTTTTAAAATACTTCTTTTCAGACCATTGGGTTTCTTTGAGTGAAGGACATGTAGCAATTTTTATAACACAGATGTAATATATAAAATTTGTACTGAAAACAAAGATAAGAAAGATTATATTTTAGCAAACAACACAGGAAAAGTGTTGAACCAGAACAAAATATACAAGATACAAGAGCATAGAGCCTTAAGGAGAGCATTATTATTTATAAAATCCCATTGGTGTGCATTTACTGCATTTAAACATGCTGGTAGTTAGTTCAGACTAGCAATGGAAAGTAATTAAGATTGAAGTCCAAAAAGGTATCTGAAAATCCTCTGTGAAAGAGCAGTTCTAACATCTATCTGAAGTTAATCAAAGAAGAAATCATCTCAACACTGATGAAGAGTGAAGAAGAATGAATGATTCAGTGAACTAATGTAAATCCAAATCTTATAGCTGCTTTAGTGGTTTTCAAATGGAAATGAGGCTTTTTATATCAAATTGATTTGAATTCCAGAGGCAAACTGCTCACCCTGTTTCTCTGAAAGGAACTGACTGAAATGTATGAAAAGAAGAGTAACTTTACAACAGGGAAAGAACTCAGAAATTGCCTTGCATGCGTAGGAAATCAGAATAAAATTCTGATCGCTCGTATTACGCTTTTCCAAATGAAGTGTGTACCTCTGAAAGTCAGGTCCAAACATCAACATGACAACTGCAGTTCAGAGAATATACAAGGGCTCCTGAGTTCTTTATATAAGGCAATAATGAATATCTGGTATTTCCAAGGATATAAGCTTTCATTTTACACATATAATTTATTTAAGTAGCTAGAAACATTACGTAACTCACTCATCAATAAGGAAAGAACCATTTATAAACTTATCTGCTTTGAAACTTAGTAAATATGTCTTGTTATTGTTGTCATTTCCTAGAGCAGTATTAATGAACTACTACAATCAACTTAAACCAGACTACTATCCCATTACTGAGTAGTTAAGTCAAAGAGATGTTAGAAATTAAAGCATATGATTTAAATTACTTATCTTTGGAATTTGTGTTATGATTTAATGAAATGAGATTTTTCCCACAGTAGTCCCTTCAAATTACTCAGACACATAAAATCTATACTACTACTATAAATCCCATTCAAAAGACAACCATTCTGTTTAGAATTTGTAAGCATTACACACAAAAGTAAATCCACTTGGATTATTAAATTAATATGTGAGACGAGAAAGGTTGCTGTATTAAGACTGAAAATAAAAAAAAAAGACAAGAAGCCTAACAAATTAATGACTTGATATATTAACCTCATATACTACTACATCAGATATATAAAGCATTTTTCCCCATTAAAAAACCTATATATTCTCAGAACATCAGTATTTCATAACATATTTTACATTCCCACACTACAACAGCGCCCTTTCAGCCATCATTGAATTTAAATACTTCTGGTACAACAGTTTTTGAGAAAAACAAACTCTTAGAGCAAGGAAAAGAATCTTCTTCTCATGCAAACAATATTCACAAATTTCCTTGGCCACTTTCCCAGTTCATCTGAATAGGATTTCTGCTCTCCAGATATTCAAATACAATGTGGTCCTTGCTTTTATGCAAGAGAAAATCCTCTTAGACAATAACTGCTGGTAATTTTTGTAAGAATTCTTACTGTAGTCTTACAAGAAATATTGCACCTTTGCAGGAGGTAAACACTTTAAAATAAATTAGGTGAAAAAGATAAAATTCCATCTCTTCTCTTGACAGAGTCCTATTTTGGACCTACTTCATTTACACACACACAGAGATGTCCTATTATGCACAGCCCCGGTGAAGACTGCTGTATGAATGCTGCATAAAGGAGAGAAGAAATAAAACTGACAGAAGCACTTCAGTTTGTGAAGGAGAAGAGACAGCATTCAGGAAATTAGTTGTTAAGGTTAAAACAATCAAATCCCAAATTAAATCCACAAATGCATCAAAGCAACCCAAGTTCAGTCTTAAGGTTTCATACCAGAATTTAAGTTTCTAGTTCAGAAGTCTGTTCAGGAAAAAAAAAAAACACACACACAGAAAAACAAACAAAACAAACAAAACCACAAACAAACAAATAAAAACAAACCACCCAATTAACTTTAGGCACAAACTTAAAACCAATCCAACTGAGAATGAGATACAAGCCTATGTTTCAATTAACCATATGTATAAATGTTACTGAAGGCAGTTTTAAGAGGCTCTTCAAACACTTTAATAAATGACCATGACTGGGCATAAAAAATACACATTTTATTCTATTCAGCTGTGTAGTATCTGACCACAGAAATTACATGTGATCATGAAGTAAAAGATATTCCAGTTTTCTCAAATTTCTCCAACTCCTCTTAATTGCTGGGATATATTTTTTCAAGTAAGGACAAGTTTCAGGAACTCTAACTCTCATGTACAGATTTTATATATATTTTATAAAAAAGAATAAGGCTAACAAGATCCCAAGTTACCTAGGCACAATAAAGAAAGGGCTATAATGTACCCTTCATGACCTTTACCTGTTTCTACATCTGTTAAATGCAGTGTGGAATCAAAGCCCCCACTGAGGATCCTTCTCCCACAAGACGACCACCGGGCAGCTCGAACAGCACAGGAGTGACAGGAGTATGTTTTTAAACAGCAGCCTGTATCTACAGCATCCCACACCTTAAAAAGAAGGATAAGGACAGTATTTTTTTCAGTGTACTGATAAGTAGCTACAGCAAATCATTGCAGTTGAGAAAGCTTTGCATTCTGGAGTCGTATCAGCTAAGCTGAAAAGATTGTTAGAAATAATTGCATGGTTGATTAGAATTAGGGTATTTTATTAACAAGGCACATATCAGTAATACATTTGTATAAGTTTTGTTATTTCTTAAAATGTTTACATTGCCGGCAATGGCAATTCATGTTATACTTTCCCACTCATAATGCTGTCTTATCTCTATACAAATATGCATCCAAATGCATTTTACCTTTAAATCATTTTTCTTCAAAATTTTTGTCTCTATCATATCTTGCTTTCCATCAAGTAAGAGGAATCCTGGCAGATTACAGCATTCACATCTGCCTATACAAAGGATTTTAGCACATTTTTCACTGGGTTTGTAATTTTAAGTGGAATTTTATCTTAACTTCACTTAGGAAGCAGATAAGAGTATTATCAGACAGCCACATGAGATTTTTAAGGATGGGACTGGGTCCTCTCATTTTTCAGTCTCTTCTGGACACAATTAGGTTGATGCTGAGCAGTTCTGAAAATCCTGTTCTACTAGTCATCCAATTTTTTTAAATGTATAACAAGTAGCACCTTCAGAACATATATCATCCTGCTCATATTTCAAAAAGGCACTCGTTTCCAAGTCATATATTTTAGAAAATACAACTACTTTGAATTTAGTTACCAAATACAGTTGACAAAAATTAAAAGCCCATCCTTTTCCTAGTTTTATTTTTGTCATAGTTTTAAGATAAAATTAGAAGTTCAGCAACAAATGACCCATATAAAGGTCCACTATGATCACATTTGTGACAGAAGACTAAATATCAGAGCTATTTTCCTATGAATATTGTTCTTCAGTAAAAGCTAGATTATGAAATACCTTATGATTGTACAATACAAGACCTGTTGAGTTGAATAATAAAACAGATAGCAAATGCTATAACCATACCTGTAAATCCTACAATTTCATTACTTCTAATATTAGTAGTACAAATAAATCAACACTTTGACACTGCTACATGATAATTGTATTGCAGTTACTGTAAACCCAAGGCAGTTTGTTGGTTTTACTTCATGGTAGTTCTCTTTGCAATTGGTCATTTTCATCCTGCAAAAACATGCAGAATGAAAACATTGCCTGTAAGCTTGGAAGGTTATTCTGAATTTTGGCAATTCTAATTAATTTCTCTATTCTATGATCGTTTATATAATGCCAGGAACAGACTAGGCAACTAACAAAATACCAAAAAATTACTTTTTTTAAAAATTTAGATAAAATTCAACCTTTGTGTATGTTAACACAAGAGCAATGAAGTTAGTACTGAAAATACAACTAACTCCGTGTTTGTGCATTTTAAAGGATGTGCAAAACAAAAATAACTTTGTAAATCAGAAAACCTAAGTAGATTTTTGCTTTCTTGTGGAAATAGCACAATTCACAATATAGGAGAATGTAAAGAGGGAGAATAAAGTGAGACTTCGGGTAATGCATTTTTATCTTCAACTATATTTTCTTCTTATTGCACAAAAAGGACTTGCTGACAGTATCATTATTATATGATGCATACTCAGAAGAAAACATTCCATTATAGAAGATCCTTTGATGAAATAATTTTCTATCACGAAGCCCAGTTCTGCAATGCAAAGCAACCAATTATCATTAATTACTTGAATAGCCAGTTAAGACTGGAACCATGATGCCCATACCCTTAGTATTCTACTCCATCCACAAGAAAAGAAATCAGGATACTTTTAATATTAAACTGCTTTTGAAAGTAAGTTTCTCTGCTTTAATGAGTTCTAATGATTGTTTCAAGTTTCACAGTATTAAAAAAGGGTTAATTGTGTCTTAGAGGGTTTTTATAGGAAGCTAATGAATGAATCCAGATGAAAGGAAAATAGGTGGTACACGCTTCAGATATTTTCTGTCATGTTTTAGTGATTAAGTATGAAAACTCAATTTTCCCAACAAGGGTAAAATAAAGCAAGTTCAACAGCAATTCTGAGTTCCTGCTTCATTAAAACAAGCTGTATGATTGGAAAAAGCACATCCCTGGAAAAGCACATTTCCCCCCATTATGTGAGATCAAACAAGTGATCCACTCTTGTGGATCCACTGACCACTCACAAGGGATAACTTAGGAAATACCACATTTCTCTCCACCATTTTGCTTTCCATCAGCTTTTTTTTGCCCAGGTAATTGTGGTGTTGCAATGCTTTCTGGAATTAGAGTCACACAGGCAAGGCAGTCTTAACTGAGGAAATTCACTTAGTTTACTGCCAATTAACATAAAGTTTATAAATATTATAAACAGTAACCAGTCCATCCTTTGCCCTTATAAGAATCCTCAAAAACAATGAAATATGCAGCTGTTATTAGAAAAATTATACATATTACCATATTACCTCCCCTAAATCTGCAATTATTAACTAATTAATTATCCAATATTTGAAAGAAATAAACAGCCAAGACTCAAAGCTTTGAAATTAGATAGCTATTTTCAAAGTTTTTCTTCAATGTTTCTCTGGCATTAAGGTATCATGAAAGCTTTAATTGCATTTTTTCCAATTTTATTAAAATTAGCTTTAATTTGTCAAACTGGTTCATATTTCACTACTAGTTCTTACTCTTTTGTACTTCACTATTTATAACATTGCATTTCCATTTCTTCTCCATCAATTGCTTTCATTTCATTTCCTTCCCTATTATATAAAGTATGGTGATAACATAGTTATCTGCTAGGATTAATATATGGGGCCAAAATGGCAGGTACAAACAGCCAAGTGACAAAATTATACTAGAGATTTCTTTGCAGAAGCAATTTTCTTTTTACTTGCTCTGAGGCACATTGTAATTCAATTGCTCTTTCACGTTCTCCATAGTATTTGGAAATAAAGGCTTTCAGAGTTGCTTGCTTTCCTGTATAGATTAGAAATGTTATGAAAATACTGTAACCTCTATTTTAGGTGACACAAGCAGACCTCCTCACCTCTGTGATCAAAAGTTCACAAATCACATAAGCAGCTACACAACATAAGAGATGAGATTTATTATAGATTATATGTTTTCAGGTCCTATTTTCTCACTGAAAGCTTTGAGGAAAACAACCTTTTAAAATAAAGTAGTGTGGGCTGAAGATAATAAAAACTCTCTTGGTAAGAGTAAGCCACAGAAGGAAGCATGAGAAGATAAGCACTTGATACTCAAGTAAACAGCAGTCACACAAGAAGGTTCTGAGCTCACAAGACACAAAACAAAGGTTTTTATCTTACTGACCATCCAAACTAGGAATTTATTCCCTGAAAAAAAGTAACAGTAACATAAGCAGAGCAACTAAAGTAATAGGAGAACTCATCAAGCATAGGAAGCCTGATAAAATAGGAACTGAGCACATCTCTTTCATTGCCATTCTAAGATTATCTATAATGCACTTGCTTTCAAGCAAATTAGACTGCAGAAAAGAAAATCAAGCAGCCTGACTTTTAGAAAGAGAAAGGTGCATCTATTCAAACAGGCAGTCACTAATTGCACACTGAACTTGAGAACAATGATTCAATTGTGATAAATTAGAGGTTGGAAGCAAGTATGAGGAATTAAGCTGTATGGTATTGAATTTGCATGCAAAAAGGAGCTACAGCACAGCCAGTCAAGAATACTAAACAAGAAATTAATTTCTGGAGCATGTGTAATGAAATTAAAAACTTTTTAGTGGATGGATTGAAGTTAATTTCAACATAACATTCATACTAAAAGAAGTCTTCCCCTTCAATTTAGCCAGGTTGTGCCATTCTTCAGTAGTTACCAAATTCCTCTTTCAATGGCTCCTAACAAACAACAGTAAGAAATAATTTCAAACTTCTCAATTAATATAAATAAAAATATGGCATTTAAGAAACAGCTCTGTTCAAGGATGATGTGGGATAGTACTGGTAGTACAGAAAGTATAAAGAATTACTATGTTTTGACTAGAACAGATTATGTTCCCTTCCAAAGTACACTCGGGTTGCTCCACTGACTTCTGAAGAGGCATGAGCCTCTCCTTTCCATTTT